TAGCTTTAACTACATTTGTAAACTGTTCTTGCATTAAATTATTTTAATGATAATGGTCAAACTCACTGTCCTTAATATATGTGTCTGAAGTCTTTCCCTTAAAAGCTTCTCTGAGGAGCTTTGAACCAGATAGTCTGGGAGATAGCAAGGTGAAGTCAGTGAGGCTATTTACCTCACATTGTGTCCTGACTCACCTGAATTTATCACCAGTGAGCAGCAACAGTAGCAAGCTGCGCCACCAGTCCCTGACCGGTCCCTGTTCTTCTCTAACAACTGGTGAAATGTCACTGTCTTCACCTCTACTGCCAGTACTCTTCTCACCTGTGGAAGGAAGATGCATTTTGATCCCAGAATTTACTGCGCTTCTATAACTGCCTCTAATCTGGCTCAACAGGTGTCTTTTCACTAAATTATATCATTTCTTTGGAAAATACCCTCTTTTGAGGGCAGGTGGGAGATGTTTTATCCACTTCTGGCAGCTTCTGGGAGAGAATTAGTGTACTCTGCAAAAGTATGACAGGGATTCCATTTGGTGCTTTTTTCTGTTGTGGCTTGACCCCAGCAAGTTCTGCACTCAAGTTTCTGGTAAAGCTGTGCACTAGAGCTGTAGGCTGGGCTGCAAAGTGTATTACAATGTTGAAAAGAATACAGTTATCCATATGGTAAGTATTTAATCTGATTATGTTAATAATTTTGACCTTCTGCTCTTCAAGAGGCTGAAGGAAGTATAAGGCTTTCTGATTCTCTTTTTGTGGTCATTGAGACAGTCATCTGCAAAGAACTTTGAATTTCATGTGTCTTTACTGGCCACAAAGAAAGCATCCCATAGAGTGCCTGATAGAGAGGATTCTGAATACATGTTAACACAAATACTGATCTTCTTACAGAAAATGTAAAATGGAGGGGGCAAAAAAGGGAATACAGAACTTCTCTGGTTCTGCAGAGGAGATGGGGTGGTGAGAGTGTGTTATCACTGTGTCTCTGCCTGTGCCTCAGTCCAAAAGTTCAATTGCTCTTTTTATGCAAAGTTGCTTTGAATTAGGAGGAATGTTACAGATATGGCAACGTGGCCTTTCACTGTAAGATGTTCACTGTTTGTCCTTTAGGAGTGCTGTGTGAGTGCTGCGTGGCTGTGGCTAGGTACATTTTTTTTTCAGAAATGTTAACAAGGGCAGATTCAAAAAGATAGATGCATGCTTATCTCTTCACGCTTATGATAAAAATCAATGGGAATTTAAGAGCTTAGGATTTAAATACTTAAAATTTGGAACTATCCCAAGATCCTTGACATCAAAAAGGCGATGGCCTCGTTTTATGCAGATGTCCTAGCACTCAAAGGGTGCATAAATTATTGCACCACTTATCAATTTCTCTTTAATGTATTCTTCTCTTATATCTGGGACACTGTTAATAGAGGAAAAGGATTAAAAAGCATAAAAATAACTTGTATGTAAGTTTCTTTGAGTTGAATTTATATCAGTCAGCCTGTCAGCACTAACATATGGGAAATATAGTTTCGCTACCATGCATAGCAGGGGCTAAAAGTGCTGTTTAGACCATGTGCTCAACTCCTACAGAAAAGGGACTTTATATCACTCGTGCAGCCCACTCACAAATTTAAGGGGTGACATCCATGGATTCTGAATACATGGTAACCCAAATATTGATCTTGTTACAGTAAATGTAAAATGGAGGGGGTAAAAAAGGGATAAAGAAGTTCTAGATCTGAAAGGAAATTTGGTAAACTTTAAATACTCGATTTTTGGTAAAAGCTTATTATATTGCTATTGCTGTATTGAAATAGTAGTTGTACATAATAGGGAATTTTCCTGTAGCTTTCCCATATCTTGGGCTAACTTGCAGTAACATTTAACATCTCCTTGTACAAATTACTGTAAACTAGTAAAGATCCCTACTGTTTTTGTTTTGTTTTGCTTCCTGAAGCCCCCTGCTGCTGTTGATTACACCTAGATCTGCTACTGATTGGAACTGCTAAAAGGCAAAAATAGTGTGGATGGTTTCTGAATCATTTAATTGTTGAACTAATAAGATGTTTTCACTGGGACCCAATAAAACAGATCATATTAATAAGTATGTATACTGTCCATGAAATTTCTGATTGCTTTTTCGTAATTTTTGTAGATGTGAATGTAGGAGTCCCAAGCTTGGTTAGTTATGTTTTTGAATAATATTACTGGATATGGTTCCAAGAAAGAATGGGGAGCGTAACCTACCCCAGACAGTGGTACAGTAGAGATGTTTCTTACTGAAGTTTATATATTTATATATTTTCAGTGGTGTGTAAATGTTCTGTGGGCATATTGAATTGAGTAGATAATTACATAGACAAGATGTATTCAGTCTCATGTTAATGCTACTTTTTAATAGCTGTATAATACACACTGCATTTTGCGCATTTGAACCTTGAAAAATTGCTTTCCTAATACATTAATGCTTGCCAAATAATGCCCAAAATTGGCCTAGGGCTATGTTGGCTTAT